TTTACATGCTTCGTGTTTAAAAGTTTGTTTTAGTCATTTTTGAAAAGACCACTGCTGCTACAGCCAGCCCTGGTGGTCTAGTGGTTAGGTTCAGGCCCAGGTTCATTTCCTGGTCAGGGAACCACACCACCTGTGTGTTGCCGAGATGCTGAAAGCTATGCCATCAGTATTTCAAATGCCAGCAGAGTCATCCACGGTGGACAAGTTTCAGTGGAGCTTCCAGAAGAAGACAGACTAGGAAGAGGGACCTGACCACCCACTTCTGAAAAAATTGGCCATGAAAACCCTAGAATAGCCACAGAGCATTGTCTGATACAGTGCTGAAAGGCGAGATGAGGGAGCAAAGAGACCAGGCAGGGTTCGGCTCTGCTATACACAAGGGTCACTAGGAGTCAGAATCGACTTGATGGCACTAACAACAACAATTCTGCTGTAAGTAGTTATGTGATTTACATTCTAAGTCTCAGTAAATTTGTTTAAGAACATCTTAATCTAACTTGAGCATTCACTTGGAGAATGTTTTTTTTTTTTTGTGGTCTGGGGTGAAAATAGACTACGAAAAATGTAGTCTAGATTTCTTAAGTTATGTCCTTAACATTCTCCATGATACAAGACCAGTTATAAGATGAGTCTATATGTAAAAAGTAGTCTTATTTATGGAAGGAATTATTCTAAGGGAAAAATCCAAGGTCAAGGTTTATCTTTTCCCAGTGTATTGCATGTAATCATCATAGAACCTGTTTGGGGTATAAAACTTTGATACAAAATATTTGGTGAGTTTCGTGATAATAATCCAGACTATATATACATATGTAAAATAATCAACTGTACTACAGAATTATCTGTTGGCTCAGGCAAGTTCTTAGATTATTGGTCTGTTCTTAATAAGAAATTGTAAACAAAGATTTTTCTGTACCTTTAATGTAATCTATCACAAAAACAAAGATTCTGTGTTTTGTCTTTATCAGGTCTTTGATTACTTAAAAACAAAACAAAAAGTCTTACAACTATATAACTTTCTGTATTTGTCTGTGATGTCTTTAATCGTCACTTTGGTTATGATCCTATTTGACCAAGTGCCCAAACCTTTTGATATTTTTGACAAACTTCCCCAAATCAAGTCTTTTTGACCTTGAACTAACTTTGGAATTTTCCAGAGGGCCCCTGGAAGATCTCAAATGATTTGTTCTCTCCTTATAAAAAGGGAGATAATATGTTAAATTATACGGGAAGCATTGTCAAATAAGCCTTGTTTATGTTGTGATAAGTGTTCCAGAAATTATGTAAAATTCCTGGAAATCTGATACCTCCTAATATAATGTTAACTTTGACAAGTACAGTTTTTCTGATAACTTTAAGATAATAAAACTGAACTGGGTAAGAATTTCCAGAACTAATGGAAAAAGTGATTCAAGCAGAACAAGAATTGATAATGTGGAACTGAATGAACTGATGAGGATGACTGTAATTTTTATGACTTTTGTTTAAAACATTGTCAGATATAAGGAAACCTTTCCTCTTAAGCTAACTCTGACTTGAAGCAATGTGGTAAGTTATACCTTTGTAAGCAGAACTGAAACAATTACTTTTTCTCCCTACCTGATCCCTCTAGAATTTGGAAACTTAGTGAATACTGTTTATGGCAATATAGTTATTTGCATAAGTTCAATAAGAATCTGTTCTTATAACAGGACACAATTGGAAACATTGGTTATATTACCAAAGCTTTGACGGGAATGTCACGGGTGAGAGAGGCATAGACTCATATATGACCAGACGGCTTTATGGAACAAAAGTTGACCTTATGGAGCCAAAAAAGCCCCTTGGAAATATCAGCTTGGTGCCTTGCTTACAGGGTTACAGCAGCCTTACCAAGTAAGTAAGGAAGGTCACTTCCTGGCAAGCTCAGGAATCTCAGAAGAGAGGAATTCACGCGTCTAAAGGCATTGCAGGCAAAGTCTGATGACAAGTCCTTGGCTTGGCTTTCTGGCCTTGAGAGACTTTTAAAAGTTCAGTCTGTGATTCCTCATGCAAAGTTCCAGGAGAGCAGATTTATATGGTCAATGGCTCTTCTTGCTGCACTTATGTAAATAATCAGGTCAAGTGTATCGAGACTCTTAATTTGGCTATCTTTGGTAAAAATGAGGATGATTTTAGAGAAAGAAATCATGTTTCAGTGACATCTTTCAGATTCTAGTACTGTTAATTGTCTTTGAGGTTTTGTTTTCTACCTGCAAACTGGCCTGGATCCTGATGCCTTCTAGTTTCCTCCAACATTTGGCTAGAACTCTGCTTGGAATCACTATGAAACTAAAACTGCTCTTTTCCTGAAGCCATACAAGCTAGAACTGGACAACTTGATGTAAACTTCAGAGAAATTACGACGACAGTTCATATGCAGACAATCCTCATGCCTGTTGCTATGTGGCCACTCAGAAAGACCAGCAGAGACTTTCAGACTGCAAACCAGGAAAATCTCTCAGATCACCACTGCTTGCCCTCACTCCATCTGAAGATACTTCGAGCCCCACATCTAGAAATTTTCTCAACTGGCTGCTCTCCAAACTCAAAAACTGAATTTAATATTTAATTGGTTCCTAGGAGTCTCCACTCTGGGGAATTTTTCAGTCTTTGGTTATTATTTTCCTTACAGTCATCATATTAACCTTTCTAGTGCACTGTATACTTTCAGGGGTTTTAAATGGCTGTTGGCAGCCACTCAAACACCAAATGGTATCCATTAGGATCAGACAAATGAATGAAATCAACAATAACCATATAAATGATGAAGATAGTGACTACACGGCCCTCTGACCTCATGAGTCAACTAACAGCAACAGCAAATGTATGATCCTTCGGCCTGCCTATATCAACTGAGAATAATACTACAATGGTTGGTCATACTCTCAGCCTGCTCTCAGTCTATACTCTCAGTCTTAAAGGTTCCCTGAGCAGACAAAACCAGTTTAGTCACTGTTTGAGCTTAATTACCAATTACTGTGAAGACACTGCCTTCTTACTATATAACCTGCTTTGTAGTGGTATACCCCCGGGCCTCATGCCATGTTTTGGTTTGAGTGCTCTCGGTTTGCAAACTGTCTTTTTGGGGGTGTGCACAATAAATTTTTACTAACTACTACTTCAGTGATTCATTGGTTTTATTTTGGCTATTTCTGAACCTTTGACACCGCCTACGAGAGCCATACTTTAGATTCAAAGACACAAATAAGTTGAAAGTAAAAGGATGGAAAAAGAGGTACTAGGCAAACAGTAACCAATAACAAGAGAGACCACATTCGGGTAATAAAACAAGTCTCAATAAATTTTAAAAGACTGAAATAATACGAAGTGTATGCTGTAACCGTAATGGAGTGAATTTAGCGTGATAGGTCTTAGTAAATATCTACTGCATGGAATTTGAAAAACAAAGTATGTCCCTCGTGGTCATCTTCTCTGTCTAATCAGCCCTTCTAAACTTCTCCGCCTGGAAAGAGAATTCTATAAACATGCTGTTGTGCGTCACCAGGCAACCTCACCCATAAAAGCTAGGTCATAGGGGACTTCATAGTGTTGTTTCCTGGAAACTGCTCCATCCCTCTCCTTGGGAGGCAGCATTTTATAGTAGGAAATGCTTGGCTTCTGGAACCAGATAGTCTGGATGTCAGTATGCATAGTCTTAGGCAAGTTAATTAGTTTCTCTAAGCCTCAGTTTTCTCATCTGTAACGTGTGATAATTATGCCTACCTGAAAGAGATTTAAATGAGATACTGTGCATAAATCTTAATGCCCTATTCCCTCCCCCTCCATCTTTCTGTCTTCCTCCTCCCCATGCAAACACCACCCCCACACTAGGAAAGAGAACAAATGAGGTAAAGGGCCCTAGAGGAATAGAATTAGGAGAACCAGGAGTTAGAAGGTTGAGTAAAGTGATCCTGACCTAGAATCCCAGTCCTATTTTGTATAAAGTATGTGACCCCCATCTGTAATACGGATACAACGACTTCTGTCTTGCAGTATTTATAAAGCTTATAGGAGATAATAGATGTGACTTGTCCTAGCACACAGTAGGTGCCCCATAAATGGTAGCTATTACTTTTAGCAGTGGTCCAAGACATTTACCTTTTTCTCATTTTTGCTGCCCACCTGTCCCCAATGCAAACCCCAGCTAACTCCTCCCAAAATACTCTCTTTCTCTTTGCCCCCATCCCCTCTCTTGAACACTTCTCACCTCCTGTACATCCAGATTTCCTGCATCCAGGCCAGAGTGGGGGGGGGCGGGGAGGAAACAGAGCTTGAAAAATGAAAGGAAATACATCTAAATGAACAATTTTTGGAAAAATCTTTAAGTTCCAACATTATTTTTGTGTGTGCATGTGTGTAAATCTAAGTGTGTATGTGTTAGAGAAAACCTTTGTTAAACTGGGATATCTCCAAACCGCAGTAAAAGTAGAAATGGAAATTAAGAAAAAAAAAGCATGTTATATCGGTCTTACGGAAAGAAATCACCAAGTTTAAGCATGAGTGTGATGATGGGCTCCAGCCTTCAGGGATCAGGGATCGTAGGCTGATATACCAGAGCCCAGGACCAGAAAAGAGGAAGGAAGGATTTTAAAAAAAGAAAAGAGGCAGTCGTTTGTTCCTTCTCTTATTTTGTAAAGGTCTGTCCTGGGACAGCCTTGTCCGCGGGGGTAGTGGGATATCTCCGGTGTGGATGAGTTCTGCAAAGGAAGGGACTCGCTGCAGGCGCGTCTGTGCAGAAGCCCTACTGCATCTTGCCCCTGGCTCCCGGGATCCAGGGTGCTCCGCCCGACGCATCAGTTTCCTCATCGGCAGAGTGTCCCTAGGAACCCCCTGGTGGTCGGGAGGATCGTCTGAAACCCAGCCTAGCGCCCCGCTAGTTCACGACTCGGACCGCAGCGACCCCGGCTCCCCTGGGGGCCCCCGCAGCCCGCCCCCGCCCAGCGCCCTCACGTGACTTCCTGAAAGGCAGTGGGGACCTCCCCTCGCGACGCTCAGTTTCGTTTTCTTGGTGGCTTCGGGGAGAGAGTGCTGCAGTCGCGGCCGTGGTTCCAGCTCGTCCCGTCGGTCTCCCCAGCAGCGCCATGACGGAGCTGTTCAGTCTGGCCGAGGAGCTGTCGTGCTCCATCTGCCTGGAGCCCTTCAAGGTGCCGGTCACCACCCCGTGCGGCCACAACTTCTGCGGGGAGTGCCTGGACGAGACGTGGGCCTCCCAGGGCGCGCCGTACCGGTGTCCGCAGTGCCGCGCGGTCTACCAGGCGCGGCCGCAGCTGCAGAAGAACACGGTGCTGTGCGCGGTAGTGGAGCAGTTCCTGCAGGTCGAGCTGGCCCGGGAGGTGCTCCCCGACGGCTGGACGCCGCCCGCCCGCGCCGAGTCCCCCGCCCGCGCCGCGGCCCCCGCCCCGGCCGCCCGGGTGGCCTGCGACCACTGTCTGAAGGCGGCCGCCGTCAAGACGTGCCTCGTGTGCATGGCCTCCTTCTGCCAGGAGCACCTGCAGCCCCACTTCGACAGCCCCGCCTTTCAGGACCACCCGCTGCAGCCGCCCGTCTCCGACTTGATGCGCCGCAAGTGCGCCCAGCACAACCGGCTGCGGGACTTCTTCTGCCCCGAGCACGGCGAGTGCATCTGCCACATCTGCCTGGTGGAGCACAAGACCTGCTCGCCTGCGCCCCTGAGCCAGGCCAGCGCCGACCTGGAGGTAGGGGGTGGTGGGTGACGGCGCAGAGGAGAAGCCTGGGCCTGCTGTGCCACTCTGGGCATCCTGGGCTACCCTGGATCACCTGGGTTCGTTGCTTGGCCTAAGATCCCGGGCAGGGGCATCGCCAGTGTCAGAGTAGAAAGGGGCTGGGAGAACATACAGCCCTCATCCATCTTCCGTGGTCCCCCTCCCCCCCGCTTTTTGTAGAGGGTGCCACTGAAGACACAGGTGGTGGTGCTTGCCTTAAGCCTAGTACGTGTCTGATGGTGGTTAGTAGAGGGTTTTGAATGTCAAGTATGAGTCCTGGAGGTTCATATCTGTGTTCCCTCATTAAATCCTGGCAGCAGCCACGAGGTGGGTATAATTAGTTCCATTTTACAGTTGAGGAAGTGGACGTCCAGAGAAGTTAATTTAGCCAGAGCTAACCCAGTAAGTGGCTAAGTGGGCATTGGGACCCCAGCTGGTTTGACTCCACGGTTTGCCATTTCTCCCCATGGACCAGCCTCCTATCCAAGTCTGCAGAGTTCAGAGCAGCGGACATTCCTGGAGGTTTGAGGTCATGTGATAAAAAGCCTTTGGTAAGCTGGAAAGTTCTGGTGACCGGAGAGGATGGTTATGAGCGAGAGGGTGGGCAGAGTCCAAGAATCCTTGGATATGACCCACAGGGAGAGACAGACTCTTGCACCATAGAGCCCTCCATCCTGCTGTGCGACTTTGAGCCCCTGGGTCTGAGTCCTCATCAGTAAAGCAAGGAGGTGGGACCAGCTGGATTCCTAAGAGGCCTTCCAGGTCTGTGATGATTTGAGTGGTTTGGGGGATCATAACTTCCCCCCCCCGTGGGCTCAAGGCAGAAGCTGAAAGGGTGTAATCAAACCACTTTTGTTCTGTCAGTCTAGGCTCCCAAGCATGGCCTGATTTCCTTTTGTTCTTGCAGTACTGTCGGGGAGAACAAGGACCGTCCTTGTGTTGTCAAAGGAGACGGGAGGTCTGGGGGAGGTTTGCAGTGGGGCCAGGACCAGGGTGCAAGCCTTGCTCCCGTCTGGCTGTAGTGCTTCCACAACCTGGTCTGCTTTTCCTGCTCTGAGCTGCGTTCCTCTGGACTTTTCCCCCGAGTCTCAGATGCCGGACCTCCAGGCATGGCCTGAAAGGTCACCTCTGAGGTACAACAGAGTTGATCTCAGGCCCAGCCTTCCCTGTCTCCACCTGTCTTGGGGAAGAACCTGCCTTGCCTTTGGAGCCAGAGCTCTGCTCTGCCCCACATCAGCCGTGGTTTAGGCAAGTCAGTGCAGTTCTCTGAGCCTTCGCTTCCTTATCTGTAAAATGAGATAAATATCATTCCCTCCCCACCTCCAAAGGTGGTTGGGAGGCTCCGAAGAGATGAGGCGCGTGGGAAGGGCTCCGTAGGCAGGCTCAGTGTCAGGCAGCGTGGCTGGGTGACATGGGCTCCCACCACAGCTGGATGTTGAGGCCTGGGTTTGAATTCTGGCTCTGCTTCCTAGCTGAGAAATCCTAAAAGGGGATGATAATAGTATCTATCTCAGAAGGTACCTGGAGGATTAAATGAGGCCATCTACAGACAGCGTTTTGCAGCAAATGCTCCATGAGAACCGCCATTGTTGTCTCCGTTACTCAGGCCCTGGGTAGAGGAGAGTGTGCTGGGTGGAGTATGTCAGGCTGCCCAGATCTTCTTTGCCCCAGCCCCTGAGGGCTAGGGCAGCCTGGCTTCTGCCGAGGCAGAAGGCAAGTAGGGGCAGGAGGACCCTTCTCAGTCTGGCCCGGAGCCTCAACTCTCTCTGAGCCTCCAGGGCCGGGAGCTGGAGTCTGCGCCCAGTTTATCTGTGTGCCCTACATGCTCGGCTTTTTAATCCTTGTAACAAGTCTTCCCCTGTCTTGTCCCCTCATTGTCCTGGCTGAGTCCTTTATCTGGTCTCCTTTCCCAGCCTTGCTGCTCCTCACTGCTGGTGGCAGAGCCAGGTCCACCTGGGCAGTGCCCCAGCTGTGGGCGGCTGGTTTGTCAGTGCAGGGTGGACTCAGGACTCTGGGGCCTCCCACATGGAGGACCCAAGTCCCCGTCCCTGAAGGATCCTCAGAACTTTAAAAGTTCTCTACCTTTGATTCGGAGATTGTCATGGCTGTCAAAGTCCTTGGGCCAGTTTCCTTTTGTCTGGAACTATGTGGGCCCCTCTTCACCATCAGGAGACTATCATATGCGTTTGATTAATGGTGGATAAGATATTTCGAAAGATAGAGTTCAGGGGTGCGTTGCTAAGAGTGGCTCTTGGAGGTGAAACGGTTGGCAGCCCCCGGGTGTCCTGGGGTCTCTTCCAGCTCTGAGACCTGCGAGGCCGGATCTGCCTGGGCCTGGCCTTCTGCCTTTGGCCCACAGTTTATCTTGGCCACTGTTAGAGGCCAGGTCAAAGGGCATTGTCACAGAGGTCGAATCTAAAACATCATCTGTGACTTGGGCTTTCAGGGTGGAGTTAGTGTGGCCTGAGTTTCTGTTTCCGGCCCTGCATGTGACTGTCACTGGGTTGTTCAAATCCAGACTCAAGGTTGGATTCAGCCCTGAATACTCGAGTGGAGTGGGAGAGGCAGGAAAGTGGAAGGGAGGGCCAGCGTATGCTGAGCCAGCTAGTTAGGGGAAGTAAATGTTTTTTTTCTAGAAATTTCCAGCGTTTTTAGTTTGGACATGTGTCTATAATTGTAACACCAGGATCTTGTAACACAGTTAATAGTGATGTGACCTGGGGCAAGCCACTTAATTTCTCTGTACTTCAACGTCCTCATCTATAAGGATGGGTAACTCTTGCCTCCTGTGTTGTTCTTAGCTTTAAATGAGTTAATACACGGAAAGCAATGCCTGGCTTATAGTAAGTACATAATAAACACTAGCTGCTATTATTATGGTGGTGGTGGTGATTTTCTTTCCCTTGTCTGTGCTCCAAAATTTCATCTGAGCAAGGAGGTAGGAGACTCAGATATTGGTTATGAAAATTTATAGAAATACTGCGAGAGCTCAGATGATATTCTCTTCCTTCATGCATCATTTACCTTTGTTTCTGGAGGTGACTAGGGGCCTTGCGATTCTGAGTCACCTTCATTGAGTTTCAGGGATTCTGCTGACTGTGGGCTGGTCTGCCACTGGTTCATCCTTATTCCTAGGGTGTAGCCTTGGAGGTCCCCACGTGTGGGTCTTACCAAGTGAGCCTGGGACTCTGAGTTTTGTCCCCCTGCCTCCCGGCCGTCTACCAGCGTTGGCAGATGGCTCTGGGAGAGCAATCCCGGATGCTAGGCTTATCTCTCTGGGTTTCCTTCCCCCGGATCTTGGCTCTGTGATCCTTTCCTGCTTTGTTGGTGCTCCATAATCTTTTAGCAGATTTCCTCCCCAATATTTTGTTTGCTTTCTAGTTGTTTGTAGTGGAGGGTTGGTTTGAATGGCCTCGTCTGCCATTACTGAAGCAGCTGTCCCAGCTCGTTCTGTCTCTGTGTGAGTTTGGCCACCTTGCTGTCCTCCTTCCCTCAGTTTCATCATCTGTAAAACGGGTCCTAGTGAAGAAGCTCATAATAATATAGCTGACGTTCAGTTTGTTCTTACTAAGATCCGGGCACTGTGCTGAGGACTCGCATTGTTTCAGTTAATCCTCCTACTAGCCCTGTGAGGTGGGAACAGTTACAGCTATTTCCCGGCCGAGGAAACTGAGGTGAGAGACAGCTGGACAGCTGAGAAACGGGACAGGAACGCTGGTCTGTCCTGCTCCAAATCCTGTACTCATAACTGCTTTACTGTCCCCCTAAAAGGATGAAGGGAGGCAGTCAGTATGAGAATGCTTCAAAAAGCTTCAGGCAGGTGGTAGAAACCCCTGTGGGGTAGATTCAGGGGACGGTCCCTGGTGTTGGGTGGAGGCTGGGTGAGGTGCTCTCTCATCCTGGTTTGTTTTCTCTGCAGACCAAGCTGAAGCATAAACTGACTATCATGTACAGTCAGATCAACGGTGCATCAAGAGCACTGGAGGATGTGAGAGCCAGGCAGCAGGATGTGCGGGTGAGTGACAGGGCTCTCCACAGGCAGCCCCGGCCCTGGGGGCCCCCTCGGCCTCCAGGCAGGACAGTCTCAGCTCTGACCTCCACAAGGCTCGTGTCAGGTCCACTCACAAGTGTCACAATTAAATGTCAACCTTGCAAAACATGCAAAAAGCTGTGTGCCCTGGAGAGATCCTTCACAGACTCAAACTGAAAACTACTTCAAGCCCAACCTTGGGGGAGGGGAGCAGTCATTAAAAATTATGGTTAAAAAGTAGTAATATATTCTCCGGCCATGCTGAGGCCATGTCCCACATACAGCAGCTGGAAGGATGTGCAACTATGACATACAACTATCTACTGGGGCTTTGGGGGGGAAAAAAAAAGGAGGAGGATTGGCAATAGATGTTAGCTCAGAGCTGGTCTTCCTCAGCAAAAAGAGGAGGATTAGCACGGATGTTAGCTCAGGGCTGATCTTCCTCACACACACACAAAAAAGTAGTAATATAAAAAGCAGTTATAATTTAAGTGGGAGAAAAACAGGAAGCAAAAGTGTAAACCCACTAGAGTTTTATCTATTTATAGAAAGGAAGTGTATTAGTTTTCTAGGGCTATTGTGACAAATTATCACAAACTTGGCTTACAACAACAGAAATGTGTTCTCTCACAGCTCTGGAGGCTAGAAGTCCAAAATCAAAGTGTCTGCTGGGCCACACTCCCTCTGAAGGTTCTAGGGAAGAATCCTTCCTTGCCTCTTCCAGCTGGCATTCCTTGACTTGTGGCTGCATCAGTCCAATCTCTGCCTCCTTCTTCACATGGCCTCCCCTCCCTCTGTGTCTCTCCTCTTCTGTCTCTAATGAGGACACTTGTCATTGGATTTAGGGTAATCCAGCATGATGTCATCTCAAGATTCTTACCTTAGTTACATCTGCAAAGACTTTTTCTGAGTAAGGTCCCATCTGCAGGTTCTGGAATGTGGATATATCATTTTGGGGGCCACCATTCAACCCATTACAGGGAGTATAGGAAAAAAGACAGGAAGGAAGTATAGTAAAAGGATAGTAGTGGAAGTGTTAGGGTGGTAGGATTAGGGATGGTGTTTTCCCTCTAGTTTCACAATTTTTATGAGATTACGTTGCTTTTATATTGCAAGAAGATTTGATTTTTACATATCCTGTTCTGGAGCTGCAGCATCCAGTTTTACTGTGGCAGCTGTAGCTTGATTAGATGAGGTCTGGGTTAGAATACCAGCTCTGTCATATAGTAGTCGTAATACTTTGGCCTGGTGACAGATATCTGAACCTTAGTTTTTCCCTCTGCACAATGGAATCACAACTACTTTCTGAAGATGCCCATGAGGCTTAAATAAAAGGGTGCACATGAAAATACCTGTATTAGTTAGGGGGCAGGCTAAACGGCTATAACAAAGATACCCCCCAAATTCAGAGGCTTATATAAGATAGAAGTTTGTTTTGCTCACTGTGACAGTTCAAGGCCAGACATCAGCACGCCAGACAAGTGGGATGGCTCTGCTCCACATGATCATTCAGGGATTCAGGGTCTTTCCTTCTTATTGCCCCACCACTCCATGGGGCGTTTTCCTCACCTCTTTGGTTGAAGCTGGGTCACCATTGCATTCTTGTTCCAGCCTGTGAGAAGGAGGACAGGGAAGAAGAGTGTTGTACATATCACTTCTGCTCATACTGCATTGGGAGCAGCTTAGTCACATGACCAAGCCCAGCTGCAGGGGAGGCTGGGAAATGTAGTCTGTGTCTGGGCAGCTGCCTGCCCATCTAAACTGCAGGGGTGTTCTCTTACTGAAAGGAAGAAGAGGAGAGTGAACACTCAGGGACACTGGTAGTCCCAGTGGAGGTGGCAGAGCAACGGGTTGGATAAAGAAATAATTGAACTCGGTGTTCCCTGTATGCTGCCCCTCTTCTGTGTGTTTCTCTTTGTCGTATTTGATTTTGAGCTATTGAGGTTACCTGACATAGAAAGGGAAACTGCAGCTCCTAGAGCAAGTGCTGTCCAATAGAAATATCATGTGAGTCTCATATGTAACTCTAAGTTCATTTGGATAACACATGCAATTAATTTTAATAATACATTTTAACTCAGTGTATCCAAAATGTTATCATTTCAACATATAATCAATAAAGGAACATTAATGGGATATTTTACATTCCGTTCTTTGTACTAAGTCTTTGAAAACCAGGTGTATTTTACACTTCTAGCACATCTTAATTTGGACTAGCCGCTTTTTGGGTGCTTGTTAGCCTCATGTAGCCAGTGGCTACGGTATTGGTCAGTATAGTTTTAGAGGATGATATTCTCTAGAAATTTTCTAGAACAGTTTCATACCCTCTCTTTAAAAAAAAATTACCCGTGAACTGCATCCCAGCTTAAGAAATAAAATATCACCAATTCAGTTAAAGCCCCCACTACGCTTCTCTCTTTTTATATTCCCCTTCCTCTCTTCCAGAAGTAACCACTATCCTGAATTTACTCATTCATTCCCATGTGTTTCTTTATGCTTTTATTCTGTATGTATGCATTCCTTTAGCAATAAATGGTACTCTTCTGTTTGTTTCTAAGCTTTATTTAAAGAGCATCACAATGTATGTCTTCTTCTACAAGTTATTTTTCCCTCATGGAAATTTATCCATGCATTGCCTCAGTTCATTAATTTTCATTACTGTTTAATATTCCATCCTGTGAATAACTTGCAGCCTATGTATCCAGGCTCCTATTAATAGACATTTGATTTGTTTCCAGGGTTTTGCTAATTCATACAATGCTGCCATGAGCATTCTTGTGTGTGTCTCTGGGGCAGTGTCCGAGAATTTTTCTAGAGTGTATTCCTGGGATTGAGTTGTTGGGGCGTAGGGAATGAGCACCTTCAAATTCACTAGATATTGCCAAATTGCTCTTCAAAGTGTTTTTTCCCATTTGTACTCCCACAAAGTACAGGAGAGAAGTCCTGGCGCTCCACGTCTCACACACCCTTGGTACGGCAGGCTTAGCTTTTTTGCCAGTCTAATGGACACCTCTTGTCTTGGCCCTCTTAGGAGGCTGCACAAAGGAAGATGGAGCAGCTTGGGCAGGAATACATGGAAATGAAAGCTCTCATTGATGCCTCGGCGGCCAACTCGACACGAAAGATAAAGGAAGAGGAGAAGAGGGTCAGCAGCAAGTTCGACCACATTTACCAGGTCCTCCTCAAGAAGAAGAGTGAGATCCAGACCCTGAAGGAGGAGACTGAACTTACCCTGAATAAGGGGGACGAGTTTGAGTTTCTGGAGGTGGGTCTTGATGAGGACATTGTGGAATGCTCTTTCTGCCTAGTGTTACGATGTTGATTATAGGTGCAGTGGGGCTCTCAAGGAGTTGGGGCTGTAAGAGAGTGTTGGAAACATCCCTGAGACGCACCCTGTATTAGTTTTCTATGCTGCTTGACAACTTACCACAAACTTAGTGGCTTAGAAGAACATACATTTATTATCTCATACTTTCTGTGGCTCAGGAGTCTGGGCATGGCTTAGAGGGTTGTCTTCTTAGGGTCTTACAAGGCTGCAATCTGAGTGTTGGCTGGGCTAGCTGGGCTCCATTCCTTTTGGAGCTTAGGGTTGTCTTCCAAGCTCACATGGTTGTTGGCAGAATTCAGTTCCTTGTGGTTGTAGGACCGAGGTTCTGATTTTTTGCTTGCTGTTAGCGGGGGTCAACTCTCAGTTCCTAGAGGCTGCCACAATTCTGTGTCATGTGGCCCTTTCTCAACTTGGCAGCTTACTTCTTCAAAGCTGGCAGAGAATTTCTCCCTCCAGGAAGGTCCAATCCCTCTTTAAGGGCTTTTACCTGATTAGGTCAGGCCCACCCAGGATAATTGCCTTTTTGATTAACTCAAAACCAACAGTTTTGGGATCTCAGTTACATCTGCAGTATTTGTTCAGTTTTGCCATATAACGCAACCTAATCACAGGAGTGAATCCTATCATATTCACTGTCCTGCCCATACCCAAGGGGAGGGGATTATATAGGATGTGTACCCCGGAGGCGGGAGTATTGGGAGCCATCTTAGAGTGTTGCCTACTGCATATTCCTCCACCCTTTTCCCCCCATCCCTCCTCTGCATGGGCCCCTGAAGTGTCCTTCTAAAGCACAGACCTCCTGCCCTTTCTGGCTTCATGTTCCTTAGCATGGCCCACAAGGTCCTTGGTGACCAGGCACTGCCCTTGCCAGCAGCCTCATCTCTTGCCACCCAGCCGCAGCCCATGCTGTAATCACAGCGGAGCACTCACCGTTCCCCAGACGCCAGGGATTGGATGCAAATGCCATGGCTGACCTTCTCTGCCTAGTGAATCCTGCCCTTTTTCCAGGGCAACTCTGGTTTCCCCCATCTTCCTTGGATCCCATGACTCTGCCATTACGTGCATGTGATGCTATAGCCTCTACTATAGCACTTGACAGCATTGTTTGAGGTTACTTGTTTTCATGTCTGTTTAGGCTGTCAGCTCCTTTTAAGCAGGGCCCATCCCTTCTTACTGCCCTTCTTCCTCCTGGCATGTCCAGCACGTAGCAGAGTGCCTGGCATGCAGTGGGTGTTCTGCTGAGCCCCATCAATTGGGACGTGCTACGACACCTCCAAGGTCCACATTCCTTGTTCAGGTCCTGGAGGGTACAGGAGTGGCTGGAAGCCTTCTCTTCTCCCTGCACAGACTCCTCATCCATGCCTAGGCTGGGTGGCCTTAAGTTTCCTTTCACCTGCTCACTCCTGTTTGTGGAACAGCTGCACCAAGCTCTCTGAGAAACATTTTGAGTCCACCTATGGGCCCCTTGATATCGTATGACCTGATTTTGTCTCAAAGTTCAGGACCTTCAGTAAGACTGTCCCTTTTTGTTGGATGTGCCCTGGCTGAATCCTGCATCCCTCGAGGCATCCCACTCCGTTCAGAACACGTGTTCAGAGCCGGTCCTAGAGGGATGGAGACAGTCCTGAGTCTCCTATACTTTTTCAGCCACAGCTGGAGGAGTAGGAAGAGCGTTATCCATGGGGCTCAGGAGACTTGTGTCCCAACTTTGTCTCTGCCACTAATTCGCAGAGTTCCTGGCAGAACACTTGTCATTTCTTGACTTCAGTTTCCCCATCAGGTGAGCGACCTCCAGGGCCCTTCCAGCTCCAGATCACTGTGTCTTAAAGTGACACTTTATCCCCCGGGGCCTCTGGCCTGTAATTTGAGAAGGCCGATTGGACTTAGCACCCATGGGCATAAGGTAGCTCCTCCTCGGGTTCATGAGACCTGAGCCCAGGCCCTGGCTTCACCAGAGCTGCCTGCACTAACCCCCTGGCTTGTTCCAGAAAGCAGCAAAACTGCAAGGAATCGCAACGAAGCCAGTCTACGTCCCCAAGGTGGAGCTGAATCACGAGCTGATCAAGGGCATCTGCCAGAGCACCTCAGACCTCAAAAACGAGCTGAAGCGGTGTATCAGGCAGTCCGAGGATAAGAAGCCTGATGAGCCCACTGGCTCAGGTAACCACTGGGACCCCTGGAACGGGATGGGTCCCTTCTGAGTTTTTGGTGGGGGGGAGGGGTCATGATCTGGAGCATTGGGGCTTGAGTTTCAGGGGTCCTGAAACATCTGCCCTTCATCTAGTGGGTAGTGGGGAGTTTTTGCTTCATCCTGAGATTGTAGCCATCCTTCCTAAAACATTTCTGGGGGGTTGATGTTATGATGGGCCTTTCGGGATGGGTTCTTTTTGTCTGTGATCTTGAGGCTGACTCAGATGGGTTTTGAATGGGTGCTGGATTGTCAGTGTATTTTTTTTTGTGGGGGAATGGCTAGTTTTGGGGTCAGAGAAACCTAGAATTTCTCCTTACACCTCTTTTCCTTCCCCCACATATCCAATCCATCACCCGATTTTGCTTCTTTTTTTTTTTTTTTTTGTGATGAGGAAGATCAGCCCTGAGCTAACATCCATGCTAATCCTCCTCTTTTTTTGCTGAGGAAGACTGGCTCTGAGCTAACATCTATTGCCAATCCTCCTCCTTGTTTTTTTTTTTTTTTCCCCAAAGCCCCAGTAGATAGTTGTATGTCATAGTTGCACATCCTTCTAGTTGCTGCATGTGGGACGCGGCCTCAGCATGGCCGGAGAAGTGGTGCCTCGGTGCGCGCCCAGGATCCGAACCTGGGCCGCCAGTAGCGGAGTGCGCGCACTTAACCGCTAAGCCACGGGGCTGGCCCCGATTTTGCTTCTTAAATATCTGCTGACTCAGGTCCCTGGTCCCGTTGCCAGCCACCACTGGCCTGCTCTCCGTTTTAGCTCAGCAAGCCAAGTGTCCTTGCAGAAGGGCCCCTGAAACACTTGTGCATGGCTCCATTGTAGAAGGTGAAGCTGTTGACGAATTAGCCACACATATTTGTTTTCCTGCTCCATCAGTGATCCCTGGTTGGGGGGAGGAAGGGAGAGAGGAAAACCAGAAAGAAAGGAACTACCACTACACGCCAGGCATGTGATCTCATCAGCCACGAGTGAGGGCAATCATCCCCATTATATGCCGGAAGAAACTGGAGCACAGCGAGGGTTCACAGGTCATGGAGCTGGATGCTGGTGGAGAAAAGACTCAAGCCCAGCTACACTTTAAGCCAGAGAAAAAGAGGGAACACCCCAAACTGGTCCTTCTATTATCCTGTTTCTAGCTCTTGTAAATGAATGGATGGGGAAGGTCGGTGGAAATGGCTGTCTTTGTAAACCCTCTACTGCCTGCTGGTGGCAAAGCTGGCTCCTAGGGTTGGTTTGAAAGAACCGAATAAACTGACTCCTTTTTTGGTGCAGGGGACCCTGGAGAGCTTGGTGCATCGTCCGCATACAAACTCCCACGCCCTGGGAAGAAAGTCCAGAGTAAGTACCACCACCGCTGCCCCTGTGGCAACAGCATGGCTGTGACCGGCTGGTCCTCTGGCTGAGACACTCACAGGTGTCGCACACCTCCAGATAGGCACCGCCCATCCCAGATTACTGTGGGGGCCTGAGTGCATCTGGAGATAAATGTGACTATCAGATAAGAGCCCCCCGAGGGCTGTTGCAGGAGCTCCCCTGGGGTACTTAGGAGCACTGGCCCATCGGCATTGGATGTTCAGGCTGTCTGGAACAGCAAGATTACCAAAGCTACTGGTCCGGAGAAATATTTACAACACCTGAGCTCTGGCCCTGGGCAGAGCCTCCCGGAGGAGACTGGCAGTGGTCCCGGAGGAGCAGAGGCTCAACCTCTAGTAGCTCAGAGCTGTCCAGTCTTCAGCTGTAATGTGCTTCTGCTGTCACAGCGCTCCCCAACCTGTTTTTCATTATTCCCTCTCTCCCCTTACTCCACTAGCCATTTTAAACTATATTTTCCCTAATCTCCCCTGCCCATGCAATTTTAATACCACACCTATCTGTATATCTGTTTATATACTGTGCTTTTATACATAAAAAGAGTAAGACTTTTTTCACTCTCCCTCCCCTCAGGACTCAGTTTTTCCCCCTGGGGGGTGATGTCACCCTCGTTGAGGAGGCACATGCTGTTGAGACAGGGCTGGGGAGAAGGAGGTCCTCAGTTTCCTCATCTGTTGCATTTGGACCATAATGGTATCAACTATTGGGGATGATTGTGAGGAGGTTCACATGGGACACTTGAGTGTGAAAGCTCTTGAAAGGCCATCACTGTGCCTCTGAACTGTTGGCTGCTCCTGCTTCCCTAAAAAGTCAGTGTGAACCGAGGATGATGCCCACACCATTGGGGGGCTGGGGGATGAGAGACTCTGGGCTGGTTTTGTGTGGTTGGTTGTTTCTTTTTAGTGTTTAGGTTGTCTTTGGCAGACAGATGTGTGGTGTCCATCCCTGGAGCAGAGTCCAGGGCTGGGCTGCAGATGGAGGAGGGGGCCCTTGGCTGAGCGGGAAAATGTGGAAAGACACTGTGTGTGAAAAGGGAAGAGGAAGAGTAGGTGAAAAATACTGTCAACTTGTATCCTTCTCAAGTTACACTCCCCCTGAAAGCTTCCTTCTTGCTGCCCCAGATCACAGGCACCACCCTTAGCACCAGTGAGCTGTGGATGCTGGCCACCAGGCGGGGATGGGGAAGTAGGCAAGGAGGGCTGGGCTGGTCACAGTGTAGATGAGACGCCTAAGGATTGTGATGACTGGGGAGGGGGGCCTCCCAAGATGTTGGTCCAGTGGGAGTGGGCAAGAGAGGACTGGAAGGTGAGGAAATGAGGGGGAGAGTGCGGGCAAATGGGCCGGGTGGGGCCGAGGGAGGGTCTGGTGGGGGGCAGGAGGAGAGAGCAGGGCTTGTCTGTAACATAAAGTATCCCGCAGGAGGGCAGGGGTGAGATCCCAAACCCCCCTTTTTATTCCAGTGGTGGGAAGGTGGCAAAGAGCGAACCTGAAATCTTCTAGCCCACTTAAACTTGAGTGTGCAGTGGAATCACCCAGGGGGCTCGTAACCCAGATCGCTGGGCCCACCCCTGGACTTTCAGATTCAGCTGGTCTGGGGTGGGACCCGAGAATTTGCGTCTCCCACGGATTCCCAGGTGATGGTGATGCTGCTGGTTTGCGGACCACACTTTGAGAACACTGCTTTAGCTAAACTCCCTTCCCATAAGCACATTCTCCAGATAGTTTTTAAAGACTATTGTGATACTTGGCAAGCACTTTTTTTGCTAACTCTCCATTTGTCTTTTTTCTTTTATGGAGATATAATTTACCTACAGTAAAATGCACAGATCTAAAATGTGTAGTTAGATAAATTTTCAGTTATGTGTAGTTAGATAAATGCATACGTGTGTGTTACCATTACCCAAATCAACATCAAGAATTTCCATTATCCCACCAAATTCCTTCATGCTCCTTATTAGTCAGTCCCTCCCCTGACAACCACTGATGTGGGTTTCTGTCACCATAGATTCATTTGCCTGTTGACTCCTTATGTTTTTCAGCTTAAAACATCCTAGCTTTTGTTTGTTTTTGTGAGGAAGATCAGCCCTGTGCTAACATCTGCCAATCCTCCTCTTTTTTTTGCTGAGGAAGACTGGCCCTGGGCTAACATCCATGCCCATCTTCCTCTACTTTATATGGGACGCCGCCACAGCATGGCCTGACAAGTGGTGCGTCAGTGCGCGCCCGGGATCCGAACCGGCAAACCCCGGGCCGCCGCAGCGGAGCGTGCGCACTTAACTGCTTGTGTCACCGGGCCGGCCCCCCTAGCTTTTTTTGTATGGGTAGAATTCGTGCAAATGATTGTTATTACAGTGTTTTGAAAGTTTCATTGTGTTATGCTTTAAAATATCTTAATTCTGAAAATTTTCTTTTTCAGAAGATGACAAGAAGCCCAAGAAACCTCGTAAGTTACGTGTTTCTGCGTCTGTTTGTTTCTTGAGACTGCTTGAGCGTAGAACTAAAAGCTGGCAGGGAAAGCTGAGCTGTCTTATCAGGGTTCTGTGACAGGGCCTGAGCTCTATGAGTATGTTCTGTAATGGCGGGCAGGCCTGAGGTTGGAGGTGAGGACAAGGATAAATGAGTCCTGAGTGTGGCCCTGTCTGGACTCACCTGTGTTGTGCTGGTTGTCCAGGTGTGTGTTTGTGGAAATGGCTCTCGAAAATCAGCTTGCAAGGGAGTAGAGGCCATCAGGTCATGCTGTGTCATGTCCCCAACTCATGTTTCTCCTCCCTTGTTTCCAGCCTCATCCAGCAAGTCTACTCCCACCTTTGGAGCCCCAGAGCAGACAGTGGATTCAAAACTACTTGGCCTGGAGGGTGAGTTATTGTGAGCAAGGGGCAGTGGGGTGTCCACGCTGAGTTCGTTCTGAAAATCGTTCTCTGTTTTCTCACTCAGCTGAAGCCAAACACACCACCCCGCCGGGGAACCCGGTGTCTCTCAAGGCCAAGGTCCTGGAGGCCTTTTTAACCAAGTCCAGACCTGAGCTCCTGGAGTGTGAGTAGCTTCGGCCCTCGGTCCTGCTGGCCCTTGGCCTCTCCTGCGCGGCTCTGCCGGCTCCTTGCCTTCGCCTCTGTCCATCTTGTCCTTTGTCAGCTACTCGCCTGTCCTCTGCTTTGTTGCACCCTGGCTTTCCCCCTTCCATCAGCACCTGCCTTTCTTCACCTCCCTTCCTAGCCAGTCTAGATTCCATAATCAGTCCTTTAAATCCCCGTCTTGCTGTCCATTCTGGCTCAACCCCGGCCCTACTTGAACCCAGTTCATCCTTTTCTCTGGGCCTGCACCTGCAGCCAGTGGCTGTGCCTGAGACATCACTGGGCGTCCCACTGCCGGCTCTCCTGCTCTGGTTTTCCTGTCAACCCCCCTGCTGTTCCAAAACCTTCCCACTTGCCAAAACCTCCTTCTTCTTCCTGTCCCGCCCAGCCTCCTCTGCTTCACAGAGAAGAGAGATGCCCTAGGAGGGGACTCCATCATCCTGTTAGTTATTGTCCTCTCACTTGAATCTATACCTTCTTCCTCCTCCCTCCCTGTCCTCTTTCTCTGGACTCTGGATCCCATTCCTCCTGCTCTCTCTGGAATTTTACACTCTCAGTTAGGCCTCAGTTATGGGTGGATGGATAGATGGGTTGATGCGTGGGTGTATGGATGTATGTATGGATGCTGGGATAGATGGATAGATGGATAGATGGATGGATGGATGGATGGATGGATGGATGGATGGATATATGGATGCATGCATAGATGGATAGATAGATAGATGGATACATGGGTGGATAGATGGGTGGATGGATGGATGGATGGACAGATGGATGCATGGATGGATGAATACATGGGTGGATAGATGGGTGGATAGATGAATGGATGGATGGATACATGAATGGATGGATGGACAGATGGATAAAACAAATGAATATATACTACCAGTTGGGGAAAGGTTTAAAAGTGAGAGTACTTTGGGCCCCTTGTAATTGATTCCTTGGGGTAATGCTTTCTTAGATGCTGTTCAAGTCATCCTGGACTACAACACCGCCCATAACAAGGTGGCTCTGTCAGAGAACTACACCGTAGCTTCTGTGGCTGACATACCCCAGAGCTACCGGACCCATCCCCAGAGGTTCACATACTGCTCTCAGGTGCTGGGCCTGCACTGCTACAAGAAAGGGATCCATTACTGGGAGGTTGAGCTGCAGAAGAACAACTTCTGTGGGGTGGGCATCTGCTATGGCAGCATGAAACGGCAGGGCCCCGAGAGCCGACTCGGCCGCAATAGCGCCTCCTGGTGCGTGGAGTGGTTCAACACCAAGATCTCTGCCTGGCACAACAATGTGGAGAAAACCCTGCCCTCCACCAAGGCCACACGGGTTGGTGTGCTTCTCAACTGCGACCATGGCTTCGTCATTTTCTTCGCTGTCGCCGACAAGGTCCACCTGATGTATAAGTACAAGGTGGACTTTACTGAAGCTCTGTACCCAGCTTTCTGGGTGTTCTCTGCAGGTGCTACACTCTCCATCTGCTCCTCCAAGTAGGCAGGCCGTGGACACTCCCTCTGGCTGACTACCTGTGGAGTGCCCAAGACTCTAGTGAAAATGCTGCAGGTGGAACTCCTGGAGGACTTCCCTGAGAGTCCCCTAGGATGGACTAGGACAGTCCCTAGGATGAAAGGATGGGAGGGGCGTTGGTGGAGGGTGAGGGGGTGGGGGGATGGGATAGAGGAGGGATTTGGCCAAGAAAAGGGGTCGGGTGGGGGTGATTGTGTTGTGAGTGAGGAGGCGTTTCTACCTCCTCGTGCCCATCAGGGCAGGGTGACCCCCTCCCTCTTGTTTTGGTAGATCTCCAGGGTGCTGGGCAGCTGGGTAGGGCTTTGGAGAATAAGTCCTTACTGCACCTTTCCTCTTGGAGAAAATCTATAGCCACTGCAGGATCTTGCTTGGGTCATGTGGTGTATGTCCCTTTGCTCTCTGGAGCAGCCTTCAGGTTTTGGTGTTTTGATTACTCTCTATAGGGCTATTCAACTCTATAGATCTTTGTAAAATTCCAAAGTCATTGAATTTCAATATTACTCACCCCCCACTACCCACATATGGGGGTTGGGGTGAATGCTTAGACTCCTGGTTATTTTCTGTGCTTGAGGGAAGCCACCACAGCAGATCTCCTCCCAGACCAGAGTTTCCCAAAGAAGCATGTCCTCTTCCTCCACTGGAAAATAGCCCTGCCTCCCTTCCTCTCCTGCCCCCCTCATCACCCCAATTGATGGTTTTAAAATGTTGAATCAAACAGGAACCTTTTCAGTCTAAGGCTTCAAATCATGATCTGAATCAGACTATGTTGAATTTTTGATTTGATGTCAAGGTGACCCAGGTCCTGTGTGGACGGAAACCCTTCCCACTCCCAAGTGTTATGAAAGGCATCTCGGTAGAGACCCTTGGGCTGTAGCCGTGGAGCCTGGCTGGAGGCCTTCTTCCTATAGCCTAGGCTTTGGGGCAGGGAACTCCTCTGGGCAAGAAGGGACACTGACCTGGGGTGACAGAAGTGTGGTGATTTTGCTCTTATTAGAGTGTCTTGCCTTCTTAATGATAACTGTTCTCAGTGACAGCCCCTCCCCCACCCCCCACCGCCCAGTGACCCCCTGCCCAGGATTGTGAGCTGCCGAACTGGCTTGTGTAGATACCACTGTGGCCAGCACAGTCAAGTGGACAGCTAAGCCCGATATCTGAAGACTGTTATCATGAAGGCTGTGTGTGGCTGCCTCAGGGACCATCCTAGGTCACCTGCTGGGCTCACGACTTATGGCCAGAAGGACCATCTAGCAGATCCCATGGGAAACAGCAACATTCCCGTTCATCCTTGGCCACAGGCTGCAGACCCAGTGCTGGCCCTTGCCTGAGTTAGAGGCCTGTCACCGGCCCTAGCCCCTTCTGCTGTCTTCCTTGTCTGAGCCAATTCCAGGTGTGAGAATTGACCAGGCTAGGGGTCAGGAAAGACTTTAAGGACCCAGGAGGGACCAAGCTACAGGGATCAAGCACAAAGGGCTGTTTTTCCTGCAGTGTTTCTGTGCAGTGAAAATAACCCCAGTCTGCTAAGGGCAGGAGTGAATGGATTGCTGGAATTTCCCAAGCTCCTTGTATCCTGATGTTGTCAGGATATAAGTTCCCATCCCAAAAGTGGGAGAAATTTAACCTCTTGTGGTGAAATGAGCCCAGCTCTGGGCTTTCCAAGAGGAGAGCTCAGGTCAGGCTCCTTGTGATATGAAAAAGAGGTCATCATTGGGGCAGTGGGGACCCCAGACCTTTTCATATGGCTATTTGAGAACTTAACACATTTGTGGCCTTGTGCTGGAATTCCAGGGCACTCCAGTGGGCCCAGAGCACTTGGTATTCCTGACAGATGTGTTGATCTGTGTCATCTCCCAAGGACTTCCACTTCCTTGGGAGAGAGGTCATCTTTGTAGGGAAGACTTCTCTGCAAGAGCTGAGATGTGATTTTTTAATGTTTCTTCCTTTTCTACTGGGAAGAAACATTCTTTGGTGATTCTTCTCTGCTTTTGGAGATGATCAAAGCATCTTCATTGATCTTTTGAAACAAAAGCCTGTCTGAAGCCAGTTCATACTTGGGAAACAGCTGGGCTTAGAGGAGGAGAATGCCAAAGATTAATCCTTGGGTCCTGCTGCAGCTCCTTTCTGCATAAATGAGGGCTACAGAGAGGGCTCTTCCCTGGTGAACGTACAGCTCAGGATAGGGAAGCATGAGTCCCTCTGTTTATAAGAGAGGCGGATAGGTAACCCAAGCTGAGCTCTGTGAAAGGTGCTTTGGAGATGTAAATCGAGGAGCGCACCCTTGCGGTCTCCAACCTTGCATTCCCTCGCCTTGCAGGGCCGCTGAGTCCTAGGGTTGGAGGAATCTTTGTATTCATCTGACTTTTCTCATTTTGCAGAATGAGTTGGATGGGCAGGTATTGGATGACTCTGCTTACTGCTGTTTCCATCCCATCATGGAGGAGATGCCTCCTAGAGTGTGTGAGGGAACAACTCTGAACCCTGGGAAGGTGTGAGAAATTCCCAGAAACACAAACATAAACATACTATTTGAGACCCAGGTATCAGGGACTGTCTCAGTCACTCTGACATGATAAATGAAAGGTCAGGATCAAGGTTTTGTATTATCTAAGACTGCTTGGTTGGTTCCCCTGTTTTAATTACTCTGAAATGGATCTACAATCTATAACTAATACTGATACAGTATCTCTTACCTGATTCTGCCCGCTCCCCCCCATTGATTTTAATTAATTAAGAGTATTTGAGCTATTATTCCCTCAGCTTATTTTTTTAGAATTGATTCTTCAGGTGATAGTCAGGGCTGTAGAGATGGATCTTTGGAAACCCACGAGAAATACGAGAGCCGAGGCTGATGACATGCCTTAGAAACTTTGAATGTAATAAAGTGGTGTTTGGTGGTCTTTCTTGCATCGCAGTGCATGTAGAAAACGTTACTCATCTATCATGCTGGAGTCAACCAATGAGGCACCCACCATGGGAGGCTACTGCCCAGGGCCTCTGGATGCTCAGGCCCCACCCAGCCGCCCCCAGGGGGTTCAGATTTCAGCAGACGTATAGCCCATGTGAAGACTGCTATGGTGCAGCACCCCCTTGGGAAGCTTTGCATAAAGAATTCTCAGACTGATAAGATGTCCTTCTGGGCTTTGCTTCAGGATAATCTGAGGATGGGGGTTAGGGAGAAGGGCAGGAGGTATGAGTGAAAGGGTAAGCCACATGCGGATAATTAGGGAAACAGTGACGGTAATGTGAGGGTTCATTATATTATTCTTTCTACTGTTGATTATGCTTGAGCGTTCCTATAATAAAGAGTTTTAAGAATGACACAAAAACAGCTGAGGCCAGCAATGGGCACTGTCCGGTGGATTTTATTCCTGTTAAATAGGGGTAGGAGTTACAGGAGGTGTGGATTTGAGGTTGTTGTAGAATAAGGAATTCGACTGGCCTTTGTCCATGGTTCCTGGTGGGGAGACTCTCAATTCTTGGAATTTCCCAAGTAGTAGGAATGTCTTTGTTATTCATGAGCCCCTGGATCACACTTGAGTTTATGCTCAGAGTTGAGATGACTCAGGATTGGGGCTGGTCATCGGAAAGACCAACCATGAGATTAGAGGGTTGGGACTTTGAGCCAGCCTGACCTCCAGGGAGGGGAGAGGGACTGGAGATTGAATTGAATCAAGTGGCCAATGATTCAATCAGTTATGCCTATGTGACGAAACCCTGATAAAACCTCTGGACACTGAGGCTCCACTGAACACATTTGATGAGCCAGGAAGGTGGTGCACCCTGATTCCACAGGGAGAGGGCATGGAAGCTCTGCATTTCGGTCCCTCCTAGACCTCACTCTCTGTCTTTCCATTTGGCTGTTCTTGGTTTGTATCCTTGAAAATAAAACTGTCATCATAAGTATAGCGCTTTTCTGAACTCTGTGAATTCTAGTGAATGATTGAACCTGAAGATCGTGTGCTACAGACTGAATGTGTTGCCTCAAAACACGTATGTTGAAACCTAACCCTCCATGTGATGGTATCGGAGGTGATTAGGGAGGTGATGAGGTTAGAGCCTTCATGAATAGGATTAGTGCTCTTATAAAAGAGACCCCACAGAACTCCCGCACCGCTTCTGCCATGTGAGGACACAGCAAGAAGACAACTGTCTAAGAACCAGGAAGCAGTTCCTCACCAGACACCAAATCTCCCAGTACCTGGATCTTGGACTTCCAGCCTCCAGAATTGTGAGAAATAAGTGTTTGTTGCCTAAGCCACCCAATTTATGGTATTTTTCTTATAGCAGCCCAAACAGACTATGACATCATGGGAACCTTCTGGATTTGTAAGCAGTTGGTCAAAAGTGTGGGTGGCCTGGGGACCCCTGTCGTGTGCCTAGTGTCTAAAGTGAGGGCAGTCTTGATGGGACGGTGTCCTTTTAGCCTGTAGAGCCTAACGCTGACTCTAGGTGGTTAGCAGCAGAATTGTATTGCAGTACACCAGTTAGCATCAGAATAGAGGTGGTGGAACTTGCAAACTTTGAATGAGCCCTTCTTGACCAACCTGTAAGAATAAAACGCACTGCTCTTAAAAGGAGCTCCCAAGTTTCTTCTCTCTCGTGTCAGGTCCCCAGGGTTTCAAGCCCTCGTTATTGTTTTCTCTCATCCTCACCTCTTCTTGCAGTTTCTTCTTCCTCACTGTCACTGTACCCAGAAAAATACTCAGTATGTCAGTGACAGACTTGTCTTTCCATTCAGAGACGCCACTTAAACTGTCATGGGATGCTCTTCTGTTCCAATAAAAAGTTCAAGATGGTACCTTGCAACTCCTCAGTAAAGCACAGCAAGGCTGTGAGTGCGTGTGTGTGTGTGTGTGTGTGAGAGGCTAATTTTAAAGTCACTTGTGGTCTGCTGGAGTGACCATTCATAATATTGGATTCTCTTATGGGTCTTACGTCTGTCTTCTTGCCAGTCCCCAGGTAGTGTTGAAATGCCATTGCATCTTAAATAATTGATGGATCCCCAGCCTTTATTGACCCTGGGGTGGTAGCTTACCTGCATTTAACTGGGGAACAATCTCAACAAACTATGAGAAGGCTCTAAAAAAGTG